AAAAGGGCCCCCCCCCCCCCCCCCCCCCCCCGCAGGAAAACACGTGCGTAGTCCCCTATCTCGGCCCCCTTCCTCTCACCATGCCCCCCACATCGTGCTGCGCAGAACCGCCTGCCGCCGGGGGTGCGTGCGCGGCCGGAACAAATCAGCGACATCCTCCAGGACATGTACGGCTTCGCGGAAGGGGCGGAGGCGGCGGCGTCAGACACCGCCGACCGGCTTCGCGAGCTCCGGGGAAGCGGTGCTCCAGCTGTTGCGGTGGCCGCGGCGGCGGCCCACGAGCTCTCCCTGGAGAAGGACACGTGGGCCCTGCTGCTGATAATGAACGGCGTGGATAAGGAAGACGAGGACATTTTGGAAGGCATTCGGCGGCGGGAGGAAGAGGGAGGAGATGCCAACGATAGCGGGTGGGTCAACTATTGTAGGGATTGCTGTGTGTCGTTTGCATCGACCCTGCTAACCGGCTGGCAAATGAAAAGACGCCAATGCGGTTAAAACCACAAAATGCTTCTAAAGGTCATGATCTGAGACCCCGTGAGAGGGCGTGACGGGCGAGGCTAAGCTGCTCATCGGGTGAAGACGCAAACGTTTGCAAGCGAAGAAAACTGCACGTGTGTTGTGTGTGGGTCCTTTATCCGGTGTGTGGTCAGGCCTTGTGTTTTTCGACGTCATGCCTGTGTGTCTCCTGTATTTTGAAATTTCCCCACCTTTGTTCATCTCTAGTGCCTGTGTGTTTCCGATTTATCGATTCACGTCCTTAGACGTCTCCTTCCGGCCCGCCGTTTCTCTGATACACGTATGATATTCGATTTGGAATTACGTCTTGTCTCAAATCATTCCGCGATCTTCACGGTCTTGGGGGAGGAGCTTAACCAATTCAAACGAGGGCAGCTGCTCTTTGGCCAAGAAATTGCGGCGTTCAAACGTTATGGTGTTCTTTGCATAGCCTTTCCTTATTTCCACCCGCACGTTTGGTTCACCGCTCTTGACTAATAACGACGCATGGGGATACGACAACTTGGTGTGTTGCTTACTTTTACCTTTTCTTGTTCCAAGGTGTGGTTCACCGTCCGCTCTTGATTCGTATCGATGCATGGGGAGACCATGTGTTTCGTTCTTTACCGATATTATCCGCAAGTTCGGTTTACAGTCCGCTCTTGACCTGCCAACGCATGGGGAGACCATGTGTTCCTTCCTGAACCTGTTCTTTTTCCGGGCGTTTGGTTCACCGTCCGCTCTTGGCCTACCCACGTACGGGGATACCAACGCGATACACAGCGCCCCGCCGGGCCCCGACGCCTCCGACGAAGCATTGTTGGTCTCGATGCGCGCCCGGGACGCGGAGTTTCGACGTACAGAGGCAGTTGTGGAGTGGCTGCAGGGGGCCACGCACACGCGACTGAATGCGCTCGGCCTAGGGGGGGGGGTGGGCGAAGGCCACCTGGGCTGGAGCGACACCTTGGAGTCGTTAGCGGCGGGTGGGGGGCAGAAGAGCGAGGTGGCACAGATGCACCCGGACGCCAACCTTCGGAGCGTGAGCCGGGGGGGGTTGAAGGTCATGCGGCTTGTGGGCCAGGATGACCTGGACGAGGAGAACCTGCTGCGGTCGGCGTGGGCGCTGGTTCGGGCGGGAAGGCTCAGCGCGGCGAAGCGGCTGTGTGAGAAGCGGGGACAGCCTTGGCGAGCGGCGGCGATGGCCGGCGGCGGCGTGGTCGGGACCCGGGTGATGGAGGGGGAAGAGGAGAGGGAGCTGGAGGAGATCGAAGCTGGGTATGGGGCTCTGTATTCCCCGGGGCAAGGGCTGTGGCAGGAGATGTGCTGGCAGCTGAGGTGAGAGGGGGCAGGAGAAGATCGATCCCAAGAACGGCCCCGGTGTCGGTCGTGCTGCTGCCGCCGCTGGTGGTGCTACCGTAGGTTGCAAAAGCTATCACACATACGAGTAGATGATACCACACCTCCTCAGAAAACGTACACAATACCACACCCGTGCGTTATTTTTTAGTTCCGAACAAAGCGTCATTTTATCACACGGTGACGTAAGATACCACAGCCCCTGAAGTTGAGCCGCATATTATCGACGAGGCCCCCGCTTATCACACGGCGTCACAACTTGAACATGAGATCACAAGCACACAACTGCTATGGAGGCCGACAATGCTAGGGGGGTGCAGTTAGCGACCCTACTGAAAGCGGGCGACTCAAACTGCAGTGGGCAAGACTCCAGCGGCGGCTCCACGCTCCATAGCATCCTTATTCAACCCGCCGCGGGGGAATGTGGGGCCCCGGCCGAGACGTCTCCCTCAGCAGCCGTGCATAACACCGTACGTTGTCGTGTCAGCCGGGGCCTGACGTTGCCTCGCGGAGGTTTGAAGGAAGGGCGCTATGGAGCGTGGAGCCGCCGCTGGAGTCTTGCCCACTGCAGTCTGAGCCGCCCGCTTTCAGTAGGGTTGCTAACTGCACCCCCCTAGCATTGTCGGCGTCCGTTGCTTGTGTGAGCAGGTTGTGCGCTTGTGATCCCGTGTTCTCACGTTGTCACGCCGTGTGAGGAGCGGGGGCCCCGTCGATAACATGCGGTTCAACTTTAGGGGGGGTGGTATATTACGTCACCGTGTGATAAAATGACGCTTTTTCCGGAACTTAAAAATAACGTACGGGTGTGGTATTGTGTACGTTTTCGGCGAGGGTGGTGTTGTATCTAATGTTAAGTGTGGTATGTATCTTTTGCAACCTCCGGTAGTTCCAGCTTTTGCAACCTACGGGAGTTCCAGCTTGAGGGATGAACGCAAGTCTTGCAAGTTATTGCGTCGGCACTGGTGTGCTGTCGTTTTGTCGTACACAAGACCGGCACGATCGTTGTGAGGCATAGGTACTACGTGTTCGTTGTGTATGCGAAGAAGTTCCAAAGGATACTGCTACAATGCACGTAGGAAAGCATGTACGTGAAGGAGTGGCGTGATGTTATTTCTAGCTTTGGTTGATATGTAGCCGGCACTTGATTGCGTCCTTTGCAGTTCCAGCTTGAGTGGTGAACGCAAGTCTTGCAAGTCGTTGCGTCGTCCAGGTACCTGTGTGCTGTCGTTTTGTCGCACACAACATCGGAACAACAGCTATGGGGGCGTCGGTTGTACCACAAGTTCGTTGTTTATGCGAAGCATTCCACGGGGTACTGCGAAAATGCACGTGGGAGAGCGCTTGATGAAGTTGCGCGTTCCACCCTAACTAGCTATCATGCCTTTTTACACCCCCTTTCATCACGCTTTGAAGGTGGGTTCCTGCTTTGAGCACATTGACTGCTGCCGCTGCTGCTGCTGCTGCTGCTGCTGCTGCTGCTGCTGCTGTCGTATGGGTTGTCGGCACTTTTGAGTGTGGAAGGCTGTTGACGAAGTCACCCTGACAGGCTTCAGCACACGTGTGTCGTGGAGGTCACGACACGATTAATTGTTGGCATGGCATGGCATGGCATGGCATGGCATGGCATGTTGCATGTTGTTGAAGTTGGGGGTGTTGGGCTGCCTGCTATCCCCTCCTGTTGTACGTACGTGTCTTGAACGTTTTCCCGCACACGGTTGAGGCTTTCTACGGAGTTGTCGCTCCTTCTAGTCCTTGTAAGCGGCAAGGTTCGCAGATACTTGCGATCATCAGTCAAGAAAGAGAGTCCTCCTGCACCTTTAGGCTGAGTACCGTTCTTGTCAACACACGCGTACGCCCGCACGACAACACTTCGTGGACGTTCTCAACATCCAAACCAACATTGCAACCGCCAACACTTCCACAACAAACACCGCCCACTCTGCCTCGCTTTCTTGCTTTCGCACCTGCCTCGCTTTCTCTCTTTTCCGCTCTGATCACCACGACACTTTCACGATCTTAACAACTGATGAAACATTACAACCACCGACAACTGGTACATAACAAAGCCCCCCCCCCCCCCCCCCCCCCCC